TTAAACAATTTGGGAAAATACCTTGTTTACAGCATTTGTCAAATAAAAAAGTAAGAACATCACTAATTGGGTGAATTATTTTCTTTAAAATTATATTAGAAATGTTATGTGAATCTAAACTTTTTGAATCTGAATCTGCCACATTGATGGAGGATTTCATTTTTAGATATTGGATAATAAAAAAATGATGTATTATTAAAGTCTTTCAAATACATTTTAAAATTTTCATTTATAGGAGCCTGGTTACTAAAAAAATCATAGAATCCGATAGTACCGCTACCCTCTCTGCACTGCTTTTTTTGGGTTCGATATATTCCCTGGAGGTACTTGTCTAAGCCTCTTCCAGGAATATGACCCATTTTCCCCAATTGTTTTGTCCAATTCTTCGTGTGTTTTTCCCACGATCCCATTCCATCAGTCTTGATCTCCTCATTCATCGTAACAATTTTCGTGTAACGTAGCTCCTCTTTTTCATCATTTTTGCCTTTTTCTATGTTTTCTTCAAACTCGATTCTACCATAAATAAAATGAACAGGAGTCTTTTAATTGTTTCTTTTTATCCTGCGTTCATCCGAGAAACAAGCCTCATTATCTCCGTTCTCAAGTGATGAAAAAATTTATTTATTTATTTATTTTATTTTTTTATTCATTCAAAACCTTTAAAATATATGAATTAACTTAATTTAAATTAAGTTAGATAACGCAAATGATTTCGGCAAACTAAGTTGTCTTACTGGTGAACCAGAACTAAATTATGAGCTTCAATGACGCTTGATAACAATTCAATTGCTTTCTTTTATACCATCTGAACAAAGTTGATGTAACCAGTGGCGGATCTAAAAAACACTACTTTTTACGTTAAAGCAACGAATTTTACCATCTTTCAACACAAATAGCGCTGGGTGGCACTGGCTTTTCCGACCCCCTCTTGATCCGCCACTTGATGTAACATAGATACACATCAGTGCTAACTAAGACTCTCTCAGGCTTTATTTCCAGACCTGACTAGTTAATAAAGAAGCAAGATTTTGAAACACAGCAAAGTTAATAATAATTGCTACGTTAGATATTTACAAAGTTATTAATATTTATCTAAATATATTTTATTACATATGAAAGTTTCTATAAATCAATCAACTAATTAATTAATCAATCAATCAACCAACCAATCAATTAATTGATAAACCACAAACCACCTAACCACCAAAAACCATACAACAACCACGCAAAACAACCTCAGTTCAAACAAGCTCTAACTGAAACATAATAATCACCCAAATTATCCATAACACGATACCCTCCATGCAGCCTACTGGCAACCAGCCATTCACCAACAGGTGTATCTAATTATACATGCAATCATCATCGTCATCAGTAGCATTATCATCATTATTATCGTCATATGTCGTCAGCAATGGTAACTTAATTAGTGGAAACTTAATGCAAACGAACTTGGTGCACTCCTTATTTCAAAATTTTAATTACTTTTAATTATGGTATTAAGAAATTTCAAAATTTTAATTACTGCAACTAACGAAAAGTTACTCTAAGTTCATTATTGAGATTAATTATTTCTTGGTTTTCGAGATTGTTGAGGCTATTGTTGAGATTGTTGCTTCAATACGTTTTTGGTTTGGAGCACTAACGAAATAGCGATAACGAAACGATAACAATAACGAAAAGTTACTAAATAATAATTTCTGATTACTTCCTACAACATTAGTATTTACCAGGTACCAGGGCAAAATTTTTAAAGTTGACGAAGGGCCCAAGAAATTAACCAAACTAAACTAAATTTGACCTGCTATAATGTGAGAATGTGAGAACTTGTAAACGTGATATTGTACAGATATCCAACGCAGTGAATTAAGTTGTTAATTTATGAGCCAACAACTGCTTGCTCTCTGCTAAAATAACTCACCACTTCTCAATTATTTTTTTTTAAATTTGGGAGTAAAAATATTTCTCTAATAACATAAACATATGTATAGACGGTAGATCGTTTGACGTGGGTGCTTTTACCATGTAGTTCAATTATATTCAATTAGTAATTTAATTATCTTAAATAATGTTTATTCAATTCCTTTTTCAATATTTAGTATACCTACTATGAATTAACAAATATGTTATTAAACTTGATGACGTTTAATATTTGTTACATAGTTAAAGTTAAGTGATGAAATAAAAACATAAAAAAAAATAGAACGTGCTAGATATTACAATGTGCCCAACTATATACATTTATATTTATATAACATTTATATTTATATATATATATATATGTGTGTGGTGTGTATGTGTGTGGTGTGTATGTGTGTCTGTGTGTGTGTCTGTGCGTGTGGTTTGTATGGTTTGTGTAGTTAAGATCAAAGATCAAAAGAAAAAAATTAGGATAATATGCCCCACCAAGCTAATTAATAATACAATTTAGTTTATTGTAATTAGGTAACTCATTGACTGCCATGGTAGTTTTATTAATTAATTTTCAAAGGCAGCTCATCAAACAGAGAGCAACCATTCAGTTCAGTTTAGTTTAGTTTAGTTAAGTTAGACCACATGTAACCTCAAGATATTCATTCTCATCATCATTAATATTACTTATATTATCATTATTGTTTATCTCATTATTTTTATTATTGTTTATCTCATAAATTACTTAATTATTTATCATAGAGATAAAATGTCTACACACTCATATTAATATTATTTTCCGTGTTTGTCACATTAGACTTCTTAATATCATTATAATAATTTTCATTATTTTGTTGTTGTTTTTGTTGTTGTTGTTATTGTTAGTTATAAAGTTAAAATACCTGCAACACATTATTTCTTATCGTGTATACCTATCTACTATTTTTGTGTGTGAGCGTTTATGTTCATTATCTTATGATGCGTGTTTTGGCACTTGACACGAATTTATTTCCATGTTAACTGTATTCACGGTTTTATTGGTTATGTTGGCTCTATTGGTGGATCTTTTTTTTCACCATGTAAAATAAGACACGTCTAATTTTTTACACTGAATTAACATCATTACAATTACAAGAAATAACAGCAGTAGAAACTACATTAACAAAAATATTTTTTAACAGTTATTTAGAAATAACGCTTCGGTTATTTAGAAATAAGTCTTCGCAACCACGTAGCCACGAATTCAATGCGTTGCAATGAGATACGAAATGAACATCAGACTGCAGAATAAATTTATTTAATATATATTTAATTTATCGTAATGAAGCAATTCGTTTATGTGATCATTGGCTGCTCTGACGATTTCACCCTTAAGCCACACAAGACAGTAGCTACACTTTTTGTTATTTCAATTTGCCCGTACCTTCTATTCTATTTAAATCTTTGGATCACTAAATCAATCACTAAATCACAGAAATTAGTCCGCCAGTTAGCTCAGTCGGTAGAAACGCCGTGACTCGCGTTGCTAGTGTACTTTGACCTGTTTCGAATATAACTTCTTCCAAATTCACAAACAATCATATACCAGGCGCGTGAGATGCGGTATTTTCACGTGCATACGAATTGTTTGTTATTGGCTTAGTGGAGTGTGGATGAAGCGGCATTAGAGACAGGAAACATCCTTCAATCGTGAGTATATAAAATGATACGTAAGCGCATGCGTATGTCAGAGAGAGCAAAACATTTTTTTTCAACTACTTTACTCTTACACAACAACATCACCCACACAACAACACTTACAAACACACGACAACAACACGACAACCTCACTTACAAACACATAACAACGTAGGGCTGGGTGCCGTTGTACCAGAGTTTCGAAAGCTTCTACACACGCAACCTCTACAGAAGGGTTCGGGATTGTTGGAATCGACCGATCTGCAGTGCACCGGCTGCCATCTTCAAACTGATGGAGAGGTACACCAGCGATCAGGGATGGACCTTCAAGTCGGTTTTCTTTTCAGATGCTGGCTTTATTTAAATTAATTAATAAAATTTAGATTTTTTGTTCTTCTTAAGTTTCAGTTATCTGGTTTTGGGCTGCAGGGATCTAATTTAATTTATATTAAGTTGTTTTGTTTATTTTTTTATAAATTCAAAATTGATTGATTTGAACTTATGATACTAACATGTTTTGCTTTGTCCAGTACTAATTCTATTTGGTTTTATATTTTTGAATTTAGCTTTTTTTGAATCAATAGTGATAACAAAACCGCATGCAAGGTAGTAGTACTTTGCTTGTTGTTGTTAGCTTTAATTGTGAGCTAATCAACCGAATGGTTTTAATTTTTCATTGATTTAAATCAACCGTCCTATTTCATTTATTGATAATGTATGAGATTATGGACAAAATTTTGGGAAACATTTATTAAGGCATATGCTTAAATATTCAGAGGATTGTAAGGCTCTGCTTTCGTGATGATAAGTCAACTGATGATAAGTGATAATGGCGTTGACAAGAGCCACTGGATGTTTGAATCTATTCAGATTTTTATAGTTTTTTATCCACATAGTCAAGCAGACTTGCTGAAAGTTAAGTATTACGAACATTGTTTTTGTACGAAAAAAAAGAAATTATTCAATGAATATTCAATGAATGTACTAAATGAATGAGTTGCTGATTGTTTAAACAGATGAATGAACGAATGAATGAATGAACGAATGAATGAATGAAAAATTGAACGAACAAAAGAATGAATAGGACGTGATTTTTTTAACAGTACAAATCTAATCTATGGGATTCATATCAATTGCTTGCTACTTCTAGCATGTATTCAATATTAATAATATTTTTCACTACTCAATGGCCTCTTTAAGTATTCTACTTGAAAGATCTTCTGAACTGGTCTTCTTCTGCTTGTTGTTCAAAATTTGCATCTATCAACGAATAAACATTTCAGAAGTCTCTTGAGGTGATATAACGTTTTACTGGTCAGATATCACTAGCATAACATCACTTGTTATGCTATGTCATGTTATGCTCTCTCACATTCCTTTGTACCTTTTTTACATTTCATTCAATCCAGATG